GAAATGAAGCTAAAGGTTAGATCATAACTGTAAGGAAGAGATATGTTTAGGCCAAGTTAGTCCCTGGGTTCCTAAGAGAAGTTGATGTTAGGAATGAAATAAATCAAGACATAACTAAGATCCAGAGTACACATTATGGTCAGTTCATGCTGCCAAAACTGTTTCCATGTGATAGCTACCATCTGTGTGCAATTTTGTTCTTTGTTTTTTTTTGGCCAATATGGGAACAGAATGCTGGATTGGGTAGGTTTTGGTCCAACCCAATCCAACCGTCCTCTAAAATTTATTCAGAGTGATAAAAACCAAACTGATTGCAAAGAGCTTCAGAAGGTTCTCTGACAACTAGGTGTGTGGTTAGCCAAATGGCAAATGCAATTCAGTTTAACTACATTGAGGCATAGATTCACCTATATACTGACAGAGTGAGTAGTTTGTCATCAAGAAAAAGAAATTGGGGACATTAATAGTGGAACGTCCAATGAAAGTGCAGAGTGTCTGTGAAAAATATAAATTCCATGTTAGAAATCATTAGGGAAGGGCTTGAAAATAAAAGTGCCAATATTGCAATCCTTTTTTACAACTCTTATTGTATGCCCACATTTGGAATACTGTATACATTTCTGATTACCCCGTCTGTTAAAAGACATAATAAAGCAGAGACTTAATGCTCCTTTTTGAGCCCTCACAAACATTTTCAGACAATCATAAATACTTCCCATTTTGAGGGATTCAGGAGCTAAAATGGCTAAACCGATGGCACTCATCTTCTTTAAAATCATCAAGCTTTTCTATAACTTTTTACTTCAAAGAGCATTCCTATCATTATTTGTTACAGTACCTTCTGTTAACCTAACAGTTCTGTTTGGAAACAAGACAAGCTCCCCAAATTAAGGTCCTGGCTTCTGCAAACTCAGGGGATGCAGAAGATATGCAGAGCCATATACATTTGTGAATTAAAATAATTGTTAATTAAAACAATGTGACTGGACTTGTGAGATGACATATTTTTAACTGCAGTTGTGGAACAGTGAGGCACAGAGAAACGAAGAGTCTGGGAGTCAGTGATTGTCTTTGGCTGATTTTAAAAGTGAGAACAAGCACTTTAGCCTTTGTATCACTTTGGATTCTAAAGTACATAGAAGATAGAGCAAGCTGTCCATTACATTTTTATGTGTGGATAGCTCATTATAATTACTCTGAAGGGCAAGTGTAGAGTTATCTTCCTATCTTCTGAACTACACTCTCCTTGCTTCCTTCTATGCGAATGTAAGATACAGAAGCATTTTATAGAACAGCCTGGGAAAGTCTGAAAAAGTGGGGAAGGTTGAGAGAGGACAGCATAAAATACATATAGAATTTTTTTCTTTTCTGATAGACAACTAACATTGGCAGAGATGTTCTCCTAGATATTATGAACTATCTCAGTCATCCAGCTGCAGACTCTTCTTCTTATTTCATTAATTTTTAAAATGGCTGCCGGGCTGAATTCTCCTGAATTTATATCTCATCAAACATATGGTAAATCAGTCTAAGAATCAAAAAAAAAAAATGTGCCCCCAATCTTGCTTTAGCATTTCAGAAAATGGGTTGCTTTACCTCTAGCTATTTTGGGAATTGCCTGTTTCATCTCTGATCCAAACAAAGCTCCTTTCAGAATTTCTAGGCTTCGCATGTCTTCCTACCAAACGACAGAAGAGAAATAAACCACTTTTTAAAGTTTTTACTAAAATTTTAAATAGATTGGTACTATTTGAAGAGTTTTCTCTCCCCCCCCCAAAACATGAGTTACACAATCATTTCTGGGAAATGTACAGTGACATTAGCAAAAGTGGTTTCACGTTCTGAGGAGATGATGCTTGCCAAATTTGGGAAAGTAAAAATTACACTCCCTAGCCTACCTGGAATGAGGATTCAAGCTTTATGATGGCAATGTTCAGTGTTACTACATATTAGAAAGTTATTCTTGGATCAAACCCACAAAAACATTTTTCCTACTACAGCAAGCTCAGGGTTTGGGACACATCCAAAACATGGACCTAAACCCCAATTTTCCCCCCTTCTTGAGGTAGGCTGGAGTCATAAGCAGTAGCACTCTTCTTATGACATGGAGAGTCATTTGTGGCTAATTTTGGCAGCATTTTCCTGATGATGTTGTGGTCTGGTTCATACAGTAAGCCTGTGCAAAATATTATTGATGTTAAAAAATATTGGTTCACTCTTACTGTGCTCATTGTCCATGAAACTTTCTATTAAATAAAACACATAACAGGAGCCTTATTAATCAAAACTAAATTTCCCAGATAGGCCTGTGTGCTGATCCAGAATTAGGAGAAAATGTAAAAGAAATGATAAATAAAATATAAAAAAATAGCCAAGTAGAATAGAATAGAGCTAGAAGGGACCTTGGAGGTCTTCTAGTCCAGCCCCTTGCTCAAGCAGGAGAACCTATACCATTTCAGACAAGTGACTGTCTAGTCTGTTCTTAAAAATCTCCAGTGATGGAGCACCCACGATTTCTGAAGGCAAGCTGTTCCACTGGTTAATTGTCTTCACTGTTAGGAAGTTTCTCCTTAATTCCAGGTTGCTTCTTTTTTTGGTCACTTTCTAACCATTGTTTCTTGTCCTGCCTTCTGGTGCTTTGGAGAATAATTTGACCCCCTTTTCTTTGTGACAGCCCCTCAAATACTAGAATACTGCTATCATGTCTCCCCTATTTCTTCTTTTCTTTAGACTAGCCAAACTAGCAGCCGTTCTTCATATGTTTTAGTCTCCAGGCCTTTGATCATCTTAGTTGCTGTGCTTTAGCATTACTTCTAATTTTATTGCCATAGATTACTTCTCTCAATATTGAAGTTTCTATGGAAGTCCTTTATTATTTACAGAACAAACAGACCAATATGACACTCATGGGCTTAGACTTTGCTCGGGGTTTTATTTTAAGCTGGCCCACATTTGAGACAAAACAGAACAAGATCCTGCTGATTACAAATCCCTGCTTCTTTGTTGATTGATATCCAAAACCATATCATTATCTGTTTATTAAACATCTTTGAAACTCAGATAAAGAGGAAAGAACAGAGGACGATGGCCAGTTGTGATGTATTTGAATACCCCATGACATTTAGCCTGTCATAATTGCTCCCTTTTCTAGTTCCATGTCCTTTCACAAATGACAAGCGTGGCCTCTGGTACATTGCAGCTCAGACAGCTTCAGATTTTATCACAGAATTCCTATTCAGAGCCCCTTTTAGTTACCGGAATGGTCTGACCCATTCTGAATTCAGCTATGTGGAAGGTCTCACAAGGAGTGACAAACAGGGTAGCCTGGATGACAGTGTGCAGACACCTCATACTTCAGTGACATATGAACAACACTGGAACTGCAGTCACAGCACTGTTTTTTGATGCATCACTGTCTTTTGCACCCTGGGGTAATAATAGCTGCTGGCCAACAAAGGCCAAAACATTCTTGTTCAGAGCAAAAATGCCTGGAATTCTCTAAAACTTAGAAATCAGCTTTAAAATCACATTGGGCACAAATTTATAAGGCCTATATATCAAAGTGGAATACCTGTGTTCTCCGGTTGGAATTTCAGATGGCCATAACATCCTTTGCTGTGATTTTAGATTTGACCATGATAAGATTAAATATATGCAAGAATCTGAGTAGTATTCTCTACTACAAAAGATGGGAAAATATAAAATTCTAGCCCCGGACAATAAACAGGTTTAACTGCAGCAGTATTTGCCAATGGACTGGACAAATTCCCACCAAGGCATCTCTTCTTCAGTGCCAATCCACTTTATTATTTAATTAATTAATTAATTAATTTTTTAATTCCACCCATCTCCCCTATAAAGTGACTGTGGGTGAATTACAAATTATAAAACAAGTAAAAAAAAGTAATTAAAATGTTAAAACATTAAAACTATGCAGATTATGATTTTAAAACTATACTGAAACCACTTTTAGATTGGGATTAAATAAATGTCCTGGTTGAGAGTCCTTGCTGTTTACAATACAGAACTGAACATCATTCGATAGCAATCTGAAAGAAGCACACACCCAATATGAATGCCTGAATGACTAAATAAATCGGTAATAGTTTCCATTGTTTTGCATTACTGTCTATAGCTATTCTTGGACTATATCGGTCACTTGCAGGATCCATCATTGCTATTGACCCCAGAGTAGTTCCAATAACTACGTTCCAATGACAATAATCTCCAGTTATTATTTATTTACTTGTCAAATTTTTATAGCTGCCCATCTCACGAGAAGTGACTCTGGGTAGCGTACAATAATCATTGTGGATAATGCTAAAATATCTAGTGGTTCTTAATAACTGTGTAGTAGCAAGCTACAATTTTGTAAAATATACTGCAGCAGGTGGAGTTATTTGTGCAACACAATTGTTTCAAACTGCCATCAGCAATCAGCGCTATCCAAATCCATTTTCATCTGTGGTATCTCACTGGATGGCTTGGACTAGCTATTCTCTCAGTCCAAATTATTTCACCAGATTATTGGGGAGAGAAAAAAACATGGAGAAGAGAATACCATAAATATCGCTTGAGCTCAGAATATAAATCTATTAAGTAAAAATAATAAATGAATCAATGATTCTAGAAATAGATCAAGTTTCCTATCTGTGCCAAAGAATGGCCAATGTAGCAAGATGCTTTTCTCTTGAAAATTTGCTTTCTGTGGCTCTGTCTTATGTAACTCCCTTTTAATAAATTCTTTTGTTTCTTCTAACCTCTGTTAATTCTTGCTCTGAATCTTGTCAAAGAAGATTGAGAATTTAATGTGTATTGTGGGAACAGTAGTTACATATTATTCTCTCCGGTTCATTGTAGTTTTACAGTATTTGTGTTCTTTCTAGTTTCTTGTCTTACGCTTTGTTCTTTTTTCTCTTTCCTGTCTGCCTCTTTTACCTGCATCCTGCTCACTGAATCTGGGGCCTCTTCACTCCCCTGGATGGATCACCTCTGGACAGGGAAGGCCGTATGGTGGTGCTATCACTTGTTTTGGGGCTCTCAGAACAGGACGACTTTGCCAATATACCTGATCTACAAACCACTGGGAACCAGCAGAACCAGAATTCTCAGGGGGACAAGAGGTATGAGTAGGAGACAGAGGCTTTCAGCCGCAAGAACCAGCAAGAGGAAAGAAAGCCTTCCATCCTAGCCCAACGAAAAAAATGGAAAGCTGGTTCTGGAAATGGAAATGAATATCTAAGCCACTCTAAGACCATCCTGCTGGCATTCTTGTTCCCCTGCTGGTTGCTGAGTTTCTCTAGGAAAGTCACTGGAATCTCATGGCTAATATTTTCCAAAATGTATACTATGTACTTAACTCATATCAATCGTAGTACATTTCTCCAATTTCATATAGTCCTTTTACTTGTATCCCTGAAAATATATGAACACGGAGTATATGTCCCACTACCAGCATTTGTCTCTCTATCTCTCACTAGCGTGTGCGCACGCGCATAGACACACACACACAAACTGAAGAAGAAAAGAAAATATCATTTCCCAGGTTTAAGACCAGGCTTGAGACAAATCCGTTTCATATGATGATTAAATGTAAATTCAGAAGTAAAGTGGAATTCTGTGTATCCTTGTCTGAGGACTAAATTTCTACTGAATGCTCTGGGAATTGCGTCCAGATATATTTATAAGAATAACTGGGATAGTATTTTTTTGTCTATTACTTACAAAGATTTAACTAAAAAGGATGTGAGTTAATTTTACCTCATAAAATTAGTTCAAGGTCAGCAGGTTTGTTATAAAATTGGAGAAGGCATAATATTCAAATGCTATAAATGTCTGAAAAGAACTATAGGTTTGAAGAATAAAAAGATAAGCTGATATGTATTGCCTCTCAACAGCCATGACCTCTTATCATCAGAACGAGATTTCTTGAAAATGAACCTAGATTTTTAAGGGGATACGAAGTTTTCCTCAGCCATAATGCTGAGAATTCTTGGTGGAGAATTATTCTCAGTAACCTGCACAACTAAAGTATATTGTTTGCAATGTGGCAAACAAAATGTTGTTTTTTTAAAAAAAGATAGTCTTGCTGAAGTAAACTACAGAGGAACTTAAGCCATCTTCATAATGAATTACCATTGTAATGAAGCCCATCAGATAAATTCTAGCCCCAAATTGAGATTATTTATACAACATTGCCATAGTTAGAATGCCCTTGTATTTGGCTCTTGGATGACTTAAAATAAACTACCTAGTAGTAAACATATTGCTACAGTATTCCATGATAAGCTATGATTCCTTGTTTTTCCTCTTCCCTACCTTCCACTCAGTAGGCTAAAGAGATTTACTAAGGTATAGTTGTTTAACTCATTGAAAGAGCTAAATAATCGGGAGTTCTAGAAGAAGAACTGCCTAGCTTTGTTTTATAAATTTTATAAAGCCCTCAATAGTTTTCACATGAGTGTGAAATGGTATGAAGGAGCAGATTTCACAAAATCAGTGAATTAATTTATTGGCATCATTTCTCACCTACCAGTTATTTTTAACCCTGTTGAGGCACTGTTTCACTAAATCTTTTCCCACTTCCCATTTGATGGTCCAGGTGCATGCTTCACATGGTTTTTTCAATGTATAATTTAAGTAGTAGTAGGTGAACAATCTCTCAAGTCATTGCAGTGCTCCAGGAGAGAAAATACCCTGTATTGGCTCATGGCATCTCTATTTGATAAGCTTAACTTAGTAAAAGTATCCTTTGTTGGGCAGTTAATAAACAATAGCCAATAAAAGATATCTTTCTAGAAGTGGTTATGAAGACCAGTTCCAGTTTTATAACATCGGCTTGTGTGAGACATTCTAAGTTTAGAAGTCTTAATAATTTACTTAATTGTGGAACCTCGGGCCTGCATTCATTCACAAATCATATTTGTGTTGTTGTTGTTTGTATTTATAAAACAAAGCAAAAAAGAAAGCCATTGCAAGGGGCCCTAATCTGATCAGGACAGTGGGGAGAAGACACCATCCTCCCCAACCTTTATTCTTTGATGAAACGTCTTCCTTTCTACAAGTTGAAGGGAAGCTGACACTGATGTTCATAACAGCTTGCCTCTTAGACAAATAGCAACTTAAGAAGGGCAGTTTTCCTTTAGGAAAAGAAGGCCCTTCTATTCACAGTGTAATCAGTCAAGTATCTCTGTAAGTTCATATTTTAATATTTATTCATTTTTTAAAACTCAAATTTTTATTTATGAAATAACCTACAATAGCTTCAGCATGCACCCATTTAATTATTTGTTACCATTATTTAAGCAAACATTCAATAACAGTAAAAAAAATCAGTAAAAGACTATATAATAAAGCAATTTTTTTTAAAAAAAACCACAATGCAAAGTACCAGCTCAGATCTAAACCCATTTAGTAATTTCTGTATCATTGTGTAATTTGAAAACTGGGCTACAGATGGCTCATAAGTAAATAAATCTATCTTGCCATAATTATGGATCAAATGTTTAGATATATTCCACTAATATAGCTGCTTCACTGTATTCCAGTGTTTACACTTTGTATTTCATGTGAATTCATCTTTAGCAGGAACAGGAATACCTAATATCAGGCAGGTACAGTAGATTTTTCATAAAAGTGCCCTAGATATGCCTTGGTAGGATCTTGCATGATCTATATTTTAAAAAAAGTAAAGCTAGTGTTTTTAGTTTCATCTGGAAAATATTCACATTGTCAGATTTTATGTAGATGTTAGCAAAGCAAACATTTCCTTTTGGAAATTTTGGAATAGGTCAGGACAAGCAGGGTATGGGCCGGCTAAACCAAAGATGCAGAGATCTTGTAACTTTGGTTTAAAAGAAGATTAGAAGCCATGCCCTGACATCTTAAAGGGCTTCAGATATTTGAAGCAAATCCCATACAACGGGAAGCAAATTTCGTACAATCATTTATCTCAGGGGTCTTCAAACCTGGCAACTTTAAAACTTGTGGACTTCAACTCCCAGAATTCCTCACCTGGCTGAGGAATTCTGGGAGTTGAAGTCCACAAGTCTTAAAGTTGCCAAGTTTGAAGACCCCTGACTTATCCGAATCAAAAATCATTTTCTTTGACCTTGGTTTCCTGTGAGATCTTTTCATAACTAATATATGCAGTAAACCTGCTGGCCAAATGTTACTCGGCCTACATCTTCCTGAGAATACCCTCAGCAGTGATCAAAATTAGGCCATGCTAATCACATCATTCGTTCCCCTTCCCTCTAGATACTGATGTGTAGAAGAGACTGATGTAATTGGCCCAGAAAATTGCAGCCTTCTGCAATGGAGCCCTCGTGGGGCTTGTGGATTGGACAAATATTACCAGCCAGGATAACATTGGAATGGGATGCTGGTTTCAAGCCCTCTGTTCTCTTTCCTGCCTGTTTCGTAGAAACATGTCTCTACTTGTTCACTTTCCAGCTGTGTTCAGTTTGTTCTTTTCTACCCTACACACGCCATGCTGCTTTCACTCCTCTGTGCTCCTTCTCCCACACCTCCCTTCACGTTTGTGCCTTGCATCCCTTCCTCTTCTCTGTCTGCTTGGCCCTTGGAATGCTGACCTTGCCCAGTGGTTGCAACAAGCCTTGTGATGCAGTCCTGGGGGTGCCTGCTGGGAGGGTTCTGGTTGCACTCCAGCCACATCTGACTTAGGCCTCTCTCCACTGATCTTGTTTGCAGTGAGCCTATGAGTTTCTCATGCCCTGTGTCTCTCCCCCCCACCCTCTATAATATCTTCTTCTGGCACCTTCTCTTTTTCTTTCTAGTCTTTCTACTGCTGCCGCCTGATCTTTCCTTCATTCTCAGCTTTGGCAACTCCGATCCAGTGCCTTGTCCTGTGGGTGTGCTGTTTCTCCCTTACTAATGTTTGTGTGTGTGTGTGTGTGTTTGTCTTACCCATTTCTTTCACCCTATTTCTGTTCTGTCAGGAGGCACCATGCAGATCCTGCAATAGAAGACCTTCTTCCTTTTTAGTCTTTTTGTGTCTCTTTGCTTTTCTTGTGACTCTGCAGCACTCATGAACTCCCAGACAGCTTTGCAGCTGATTCAGTATAGTGTGGTTGCAAAAATAAACTTTGGATTTGTCATAACTTCTGACAACTGATCTCCCACATATGCTTACACTTTCTCTCTATTACACACACCCGTACACACACTTATTTTTAACCTTTTTTCTTCTTCTTCTTCAGCTGTTTCAGTCTCTTTTATCTGTGTGTGCATGTGCTAGTCTCTATTCCAGGTATACACCGGCAGCATGTCTAGTTCTTTGCATGTGTCCAGTCTGTCTCAGAGTATAACCTTTCTATCTGAAATTTCCTATGGCTTGATCTGTCCTGCGTATGTCTAACAAGCTTGAACCTGCCCCTGTACGTTATTTGTTTCTTACTCTGTTTCTTGATAGCAGCATTTTTGATTCTGTAAGGATGAGTGTGTGAGAGAGATGTCTGCATGTTTGGATACCTACAGATGTGCATGTGATAAGCCATTGCAACAGTTCATTGGTGCATCTGACACTTTGTATTACATCGAAAGAGATTCCTATCTCATCATGGTTTTCTCCCTTAGCATCTGTCTGATATTATTTGTCTGTCACCGAACGTTTTGTCTATATATGTTTCTTCAGTTCTTCTTATGTATTTTATTGACAACTTCAGTGAGTCTCTTCTTCTGACAAGATTTAAACCTGGTGTTGCGGTTGAAAATAATCAGCTTCAGGCTTACTGCTCTACAAGCCCTTCTCTGCATTGAGAGACCGGCTCTTTTTGGAGCTCCTTGCATAACATGCAGGAAGAGCCCCCAGCATGTATTCTTACAACTAGGACTGCAGCTCAGGAATAGAGTTATTTTTCCATGCATGGCTTCTATATTGGAAGGCCCCAGTAGCAAGTGGTGGGAACGGCTCTGCCTGAGACCACCGGACATTGCATCACATCAGAGCAAATGCAATTGGCTTAAATGGAAAAATAATCCCATCATCCTTAAGGCATTCATATATTCTGATGATTTTTTAAGAATTTTGCCCTGAATGGATGTCAGGCACAGACAATACCTACCCTCCCCCCCACCCCGCCCCAGGCCATTTCTTGAGCACATCCAGCCCTGGGGGTAGTTATTTCTTGCTAGCTATATTTATTGTCACATGTTAGATTAATAAAGGCCATTGCTTTTCAAAACTCTCTTTCTGATGTTTTTAATTATCAACTGTGACTTCAGAAATTGAAAGTGGCATTCCTAGTTCCCCCCAGCACCAGTCACTAGGCTTTATGATGGCTGAGCTTTTATGCCTTGGTTAACATTCAGGGCCCAACTATAAGAACAGACTTGCTGTACTTATGGCAACCAACACAAGGGTATTTCTTTAACATTTTGTTCCTTCCCATTGTGGGGGCTAGTGAAAAAGAAATACTACCATTCGGCAATGCACTTTCCTTGTCTCTGAGGAAACATATAGAGCATCACAAACGATACCCAGTAATAACTGTGGATTATGGGAGTGCTATAAATATTTTAAAAATATAAAACTCTTCCCTAAAACTCACACAAGGGGCCTCGAAAGAGCAGGTTTCTGGCCAAGAAACACATACTGCAGGTCCCTCCAAATGAAAATTTAACACTTCAAACAAAGGACTTCTACCCTAGATTTGTTCAGTGTTTAGTATTTTCCTCACACTCAAAAAAATTGGAATGGATCTTGAAGAGAGCAGGTTTTCTAGCTTTCTATCTTTAAACATATAATGTATTTAAACTCGAGATGAATATTATTTATTTAACTGGGCACTAAATACTGCATTTGTTCTTCAACTTGTCCCAAAAGGGGTTGCATAAATTCTCTTCTATGTCTTTGTATATCATTGTGTGGATCTCGATATGTCTTTGTTAAATGTCCGGCCTCTGGAAATTGTAACCAGCTCTCTCATTCTGCATCCATTGTCCCAAATAGTTTTTCAGACAATAGGATATTTATATTTCTCCCTCTATAGATGCCCTTTTCACATACTAATGCTCACCAGTTCCTCTCTTTTTTTCCTATCTCACTTCTCTATCCTAAAATCCAAACTTCCTTATGCCAGAGGTAATAACACCCCATCCTGACTAACTGAAAACGTTAGATTCTTTTAAGTTTGCTAAGCTTGTCAGAAGGAGATGACCACTGATTAAAACAAAAGCCAATGAGAAACCTACTTCATGTTTGAATCCCCTGGTAGGAAGCTGAAGGAGGCTAGCTTTTTAATATGCTTTGGTGAATCTATAATTCAGACTAGGTGTGCTGGACATGTGGAATAAGCAGGGCTTTTTTTCTCATAGAACGCCCAGAATGGAGTTCCGGCACCTTTTTGGGATGGAACCTTGTAGGGTAGGCAAGATGGGTTGTATGACGTGTATGAGTTCCGGCACCTTTTTTTTTTTTTTTAGAAAAAAAGCACTGGGAATAAGTCATGTTATATGAAGATCCATATTGAATGTTTTATTAACAGGTGAAATAAGCTTTTATCTGTACCATAGATATTACGTCTCAGCTCGACTTAGAGTCCATAGCTATGCTGTTGTGGAGACACAAAGGAAGCCAGGGTTTGCCAAGAAACTTTTGGTTAGCAATTTCCCTCTCTGCTTCAATAGAAGTAAGCTGGAAGGCAGTACCTACATATGCTTTCATTGATACAGCTCAGTGGGGCATAATCAGTGGATAATAAGGTAATACTGCAACAGCTTGATTCATCTGGCAAAAAGTAAGCCAGAGTAGAGTGGTTTAACTCAGGTTGTGTCATGTTTTGAACTAGAGATATGATCTGTCATAGACAATCTATCCTAGCTTTTTGACTCTGTTCCTTTTCTAAGGCCCTGGAAGACATCCCTTTGTCACCCAGCACTCAGGTTTCCTAAGTGGTCTGAGTACACTGGCTGAGAAACCATCTGGCTGTACGTCATCTCAGAAATTGCCTGTCAAGGAAAGTAAACAAAAGCACTTCTCTCTTTGACAGAGGGAATGTTTGTGTTTGGAGAAGGTTAATGGCCTGTGAGGTAGGAAGGGAATTGGCAGCAAGCTCCACAGCAAATCGAACCAGCATTCATGATCTGGCTCAGCCAATAGTGGTTAAAGTGCTGGACTAGCATCAAAGAAATCCAGATTCAAGTTCACCAGGAAACGTCACAAGATGACTTTGAGCCAGCACTTTCCTTCAGCCTAAAATCTGAAAAGCGTTTTTGGAATGGTGATCAATTGAAGGGATCTCCATATAAGCTACTTTGAGCTCCTGGAGAAAAAGCAGAATAGAAATCTGAATACAGTATGTTGTTTTTATCATCCTCCTCATTATTAATCATTACCAGGAAAAACCTAGCAATACCATATATCAGAAAAAAGATGGGCCACAAATGACAGGGATCATAAATGATAAATTCAAAACTATATATCAGATGTTTAAATGGTAATACTGCATCATTTTTGTGACTTTTCTACTGTTGAATGGATCTACCATAATATACATTCTTTCTCCCTATTACAAATATTGAGGTTTTTATATATTCAAATATATGTAAAGGTTTCTCTTCTCTCCCACAGATTACCCTCTGGAGGGAAAGTTGTCAACACAACACCAGTGCTAGGTCAGACCCAGCATGAGGAGACTGATCACAAAACAGAGCCCCGTTCATCTGTCTCAGACCTTGTAAATTCCCTTACTAGTGAGATGTTGATGGTAAGTGTTGATAGTTTCCCCCCGATTTTACAGTATCTATTAATGCATGATTTGGAGAAGGAAAGGACTCTGTGTGCCTTTATCTCCTTTCCTCCAACTATGTCCACACCACCTCAAATGGTACCCCCAAATTAAACATGGTGTATTTTCAACATGCAAAGGAAAGGCCGGAATGTTTCAAGATCACCAAATCTTGAGATTTCAGTGAGCTCATATCAAATCTTATGAAATTGTGCAATTCATGCAAGACTTGTCAGAGAAACTTACAATGAGCTTGCCAAAATCTTGAGACATGTAGCCTTCCAACAACACTTGAAACAACCTTGCATGGGTTGGTCGTTACACAAGCTAGCACAACATTGACATGGACCTGAAAAGGTTGTCCAACTGGTTTAAATACTAGCTGTGCATTCTCCCCATGAAAAGAACTGCATAAACTGTATGTATTGTGTCAGCTATAGATTCATCTTTGAATATCTGACTCTTTCCCCTATTTCCACTGTAGCATCTTTATTCCTTGACTTTTTCATCTCCTCGTCGAACCTCTCCCCATTGTACTAACTATGGCACAGATGTCCACTCCCCCCATCTACTTTTCTGTTCTGTCCTTGTTTCATCTGAGGCAGCCTTAACTTATTATTCCTCAGCTTCTGTATTGCTAAAAGAGTGTTCCCCTCTTAAGCAGGCAACAGCTTTGGCACTTTACTGTGGGCCACTCTGTTGCACTTCGTTGACCAGTCTATTTTTTTTTCCTCCTTCATATTGTTACATTTTGTAGCAGGATTGCAAAAAGTAAACAGAATTCAAAAATACAAAAGGTAAACAATGAAACAAACAATAAAACATCATAAAGAATACACTGCAAAAAACACTAAACAGAAAAAGAAAAAAACTCCAAAATTAAAGAATCCACGGGGGGGGGGAATTAAAATCCAACACTAAACATCTAATATGTGTGTATGTATATATGTATGTATGTATGAAAGAAACATGTACAGCTCACTGGCTATTCTATTTGGGCACAGTGATGTGATCCCCTCAATAAACCAGCCAAAATAGTAATTGATCAGCTGTAGTACTGGGGGGCTGAATAGTGAAATAAGAGGGTATGGGAGAGATTGTTCTTTTCCTACCAGTTCATGCTTCCATAAACACAACTTGCAATTCTGGCATGAAGAGATTATATTTAAACACATGCCCACCCCTATGTAGTTGTTAGCTATTCTTTTCAGCATAGGTTCAAAAAACTCTCTTCAAGAGGATCAACTGGGTGTGGATGTACAAACTTACTTTCTCTCTTGCTTCACTGTTGCAACACCCCCACCACCATCATTGATCAATTGCCAAGGGTTTGGCATTTGGTTTAAACGTTTATTGATTTAGCAGAGGAAAAGTACATGGGAATGTTGGGTGAAACAGTGCAAGACGTCCCTACCCTTTCCTCTGCCCAGACCCCACTACTTTTGAACATGACTTTAATACCCTGAAATAGTGACAAACCTGTCTACATAAGTAACCCAGATAACAGGCTCAGACAGACAAAGGATGCACATTGCCATTGTGTAACAAAATGATTCCTTTCCATACAGGTCTCTGGGTCACTTGTCACCAGTCTGGTTTGAATTTTGATGGATGGCTAAACCCACCGGTCTAGCCATCTGTCAATCTGCAACCTCATCCCATGCTGAGGATAGCATTTGATAGATTTTTTTTCCCCACCTGCAAGTGAAATTTAGTAAGAGGGAAGGGAAACAGGAGAATCTGCCAGCCCTTTAACACGTCCTGCCTGCAATAAATGAAGACACCACCTTTTGCCAGTGACAAGCCTAGAGCAAAGTAAGGATTAACTCCAGAGACAGCAGTTCTTATGCTGCTGATATAATTTTCTGCTGGGTGAATAATACTTTAAATGAGCCATGAGGAAGAGCCCATTAACTTGGTCCTGTTTGCTAGGAATTGATTAACATGCTAGTCTAAACAGAGCACAGCAGGCAAAGAACGGGCTTCTGGAGCCATTAAATGACCCACCCAATGATTTAATGGAGTTGCTGGAAGAGGAGAGGGAGCCCAAGGCTAGAAACTGGGACCAGTGTATCATCATCAACAGGCAACCTTCACTTATGTTATTCCTCTTAATAAATCCAACAGGATGCAAGACAGATACACGTGACCTGTGGCAAGCTTAAACCAAGTAATACATCTGTATGAGCACTGTAATATGTTAATATATTAATATGCTACTAATCTGCTTTAAATACCTTTTGTTTATCACATTCACCCTTTTCAGATACACATATATACATACATACATACATACATACATACATACATACATACATACATACATACATATGCCTATGCAGTCAGGGCCAGTGACGAGGTCCAGGGGCCGTGTGCAGGCTCTACTTAACCTATAAAAGACTCTCCCATGGACTGGCTTCTTAAGCCCTGATGATGTCAGCAGTGGAAGCTGACGAAAGCTTGGCGGTTGTTTAATTGGTATTAAACTTTTATAGTTTAATTATTTTACCCTGGTGTTCACTTTTTTTTATTTATTTATTGGCATGGATGTACCCAGGGATCACGTTTTTAGTATTATTATTAACATACATACATACATACATACATACATACATACATACATACATATATACTGTATATCAATGATCAGCAGCTAGAAAAAGGTATTATTATATGGTTTTATTTCATCTTGCTCATACTGTTTCATTAGACTAAGAATTGGAAGAGCCAATTCTGTGTTTATTTTGTAGTTTGTTTTGCAATTAAAGGAAAAAGCTAACAGAGAAGTTCTATATTGGATTTATAACAGCTAAGGGGTGTGTGATAGAATTTGATAGAACTCTCACCTCTTTTAATGGAACTTGAAGAACATCCGTATAGAGAAGGTACACTGTCAGATCATTGCAAAGCAGCCTTCGCCAACTTGGTATCCTTCTGGGAAATTGAAAATGATGGAAGTTGTAGTAGTATCCATCTTGGAGATAGTAGCCTCAAACTCACAATTTGAATAGAGGGATATACAGTATGCTAGAGCAGTGGTTCTCAACCTTTTTAATGCCGCGACCCCCAACGGGTCGTAAGTTGAGGACTAAACCGGTCGTAAGTCGAGGACTAAACCGGTCGTAAGTCGAGGACTAAACCGGTCGTAAGTCGAGGACTACCCAACCGGTCGTAAGTCGAGGACTTTCCCTGCCCGGGAGCGCCGCGCATGNGTGGTTCTGCCCCCTGCGCCGGCCGAGGCGTAGCTGGCAAGCGGCAGAGACGGAGCAGGCCGACCACCAGCTGGCCCAGCCCAAGGGAGGTAAGGCACCCGCCGGAAAAGGGGAAAAAAATGGCGGACAGCCTTGCTTGGCGACCCCCATGAAATGGTCAATCGACCCCAAATGGGGTCCCGACCCACAGGTTGAGAACCACTGTGCTAGAGGCTTGCATTCCACATCCTTAGTTCATTGTTTCCTTTCTTACAAAGCATGTCAGGATAGCCATTAATACTGTTCCTCATTGTTGGGTTTTACTAGGAACTTGGAATGTTTCCCCCCTCCCTTCCTGGTCTAAGCAGGCAGGGCAGGATATATTTTGCTGGTGTAGCCACTAATGCTGCAACAGCATATTTATTGACTGATTGGTGAAATGTGAATTTATGCCCAAATTTCCAATATTCAAAGTGGCTTACAGAAATTAAAAATACAGTGAAGCAGAATTAATACAATGAAAAGCGGTCATTAAAATTATTAACAACTAAAAGTTTGATGAAAAGATGTATTTTTAACATCTTAAATACTGGGAAAGCAGAAGGCAAATGCACCTGCTCGTGAAGCTAATTCCATAATCTGGGAGCCACATTGCCTCAGCAGGGGAATGGGGGGTATCCTTCATATGTGGAAGATATACACAGAGGCACTTGATTGAGGTTTATAAGCTGAGGAGAAAATGGAAACTTAACAATTGTCAACAGATACAACCTCTCCCCCCCCCCCCAAAGTTCACACAGGATTTGATTAATGGATTTCTCTACCACAAATTGTGACAATGTTTGAAGAGGACTTTAGGCAAATGTTTGGAAGGCAAGGCTGTTAGTGGTTACTGGGATTCTTATATACTAACTCTAGAGTCAGAAGTAATAATACTCTGCAGACTATCAACATACTTTTTTCCCCGATTTCTTGGAGACATCTCTTTGTAGAAAACAAGATACTTTGCTCTGGTTAAGTATATTTTTTCTTAATTCTTCAGGAGAACCTTCTCTCTTGAAAGGCTGACATTCTATTTAAGATCAAATCAGAAAATGACATTAATCCATATTTTCTTCATTATAGGAAGATGCAATACTTTGAATTTGGCACATTTATAGTATAACAACTATATTACTTATACGCTGATTGACATGTCATTTCCTTAATTATACCACTCCTGTGACACAAATCAGTGGGTACGTAGGTGTCAATTGCACAGGGGGAGGGGGGAGAGACATACAAATGGAACAGATCAACCATGAATCATAATATGATTTTTTTTAATTTACAACATAGAACATAGAATATCAGAGTTGGAAGAGACCTTGCAGGTCTTCTAATCCAACCCCTGCTCAAACAGGAGACCCTATACCAGGCAAGTTATTCCACTGGTTGATTGTTCTCACTTTCAGGAAATTTCTCCTTCGTTCTAGGTTGTTTCTCTCCTTGATTAGTTTCCATCTGTTGCTTCTTTTCTTGCCTTCTGGTGCTTTGGAAAATAAGGTGACCTCTTTGTGGCAGCCCCTCAAACACTGAAACATTGCCATCATGTCACTTCTAATCTAGAGATTTCACTAGATTAGACATACCAAATCCCTGCAACCATTCTTCATGTGCTTTAACCTTCAGCCCCCTAATCATCTTTGTTGCTCTTCTCTGCACTCTTTCCAGAGTCTCAGCATCTTTTTTATATCGTAGTGACCAAAACTAGATGCACTGTTCCAAATGTGGTCTTACCAAGGCCTT